GGAAGCATCTGGCGAGACGGTGCAAGGCACGTGTCAATAAAGGAGGAATTAGAGATTCCTAATCTCATGCGCTAAATAATCAAATTTAAGGATATTTTCCATATCTTTGAATTTTACTTTTTGTATGTTGAAAAAATACATCAACACTTTATTTTCAGATTTTACTTTTTATTGTTGAAAATTGCATTAACACCAATAAAAAATAAAATAGAGGAGAATGTAGATGAAATGTTTGAGATAAGAAGGGTGACCCTGCATCTCTTTATGAGTTTTGAAATGTAAAAAATAACAAGGATATTTCAACTTTGATAATTGTTACGCACAAAAAATAATAATAATAATAAAAATAAGGATAGCAGGATCTTAAAGGAAGATAGACACGAAGTCGGGTGGAAAAGGAAAAAAATTTGCGCTCAGGTCGGTTGGTCCTCGATCGGATGGTCAGGTGCGTTGGTTAGCAGTCGGATAGGCAGGTCGGAAGATCCTCGGTCGGTTGGTCTGGTCGGTTGGTCCTCGGTCGGATGATCAGGTCGGTTGATTAGCGGTCGGATTGGCAGGTCGGAAGGTCCTCGGTCGGTTGGTATGGTCGGTTGGTCCTCAGTCGGATCGTTAGTGATCGGACAGACAGGTCTGATGGTCAGCAGGTCGGACAGATAAATCTTTCTTTGGTACCTATAATTATTAATTTTATACCCATGTTGTATGCTATTGTATATTTTATTTGTTTGAAGATACTATGGTTTGGTTGATATGTACTACAAATACTCATGTATGAACATTGGTATTTCTTATGCTAGTATATTGGATGTTCATAAAATCTTATTTTATGCAGTTGTGTCTGTCGAAAATGATGAAAATTAGAAATTATTTTGCTGGATTTTAAGGTATGTTCTTTATGTTGATGGTCGATATAATTAAAAAGACTAATGTTTTTTCAGATAGACACTTGGAATTTCTAAAATCTATTATCACTGTATTTTTTGAAGCCCACCACGCATACTGTCTTCGGCATTTAGTGAACGACTTTCGCACACAGGTATGTGTAGAATATATGTTTAATTTATTATAATAAATGCAACAAGTTAATTATATTTCGTATAGGTAATGCAGAGATATCTTATGCACCATATTTCGTTCGTTTTCAACAAAGTTGTTTACGCACCTCTGCGGAAGGATTTTGGGCAGCATATAATATATGTTGTAGAGGCTATGCCACTTGCTCGAAACTTTATTGCATAATTGCAACCATCCAAGAAACGATAGATGTGATGCAGAACAACCCCCAGGAAAGATAATTTCTCGTACAATATCTGTCCAACTAGGCCGGCAAAAAAAGACGGTTTGAATCACATTAGGTGAAAAAATCTAAAAATATAGTAGTGGTGGTCGCCTAGGATATAACCGACAAAGTTATAAGGAGGCTTTATCTTAGGTATTTTTTATTTCTCATCATATGACTGGAATTTTTTTATTTTTTTTTATGATTGTGCATTGAACGGATATCTTTGTATGAGACCACTATTGAATGATTTCAAATTTAGATGACATTCCTTTTATATTTTTCGGTATACACAACTAATATGTGGGAGTATGTATCATTACAAATTAATTTCAAATTAGTTATATCCATGAGTATGTGAATTCACAACAAAAGTATATTACAAATTATTGTAGTTGTATAAAATATGAGCAATGTTAACAATTATCAACGACGAAAATACACTAGATATGAAGCTTGGTTAATTAAATTCAGCATAATACCTAAGGTCTTTTGTGTCCCCAAAGTGCTTCTTATAGTATAATATGACCCACAATGTGTTTTCATCATTTATCTCAAATTACATTAACATTGAATCACGTCTAGGTATTTAATTTTTGAACAGAATTGTTATAGTGACAATACGGGTATTCTATGAAGTTTAAAAAGTATATTCGTTAATACCAGAGGTATGCATAGTACGAGTAAGTTGGTGTATCTTTGTGTATGAAAGTATTCATATTCATGCATAGGTATTATTAATGTGAACACGGGTATTCAACCAACAGGGCCAAAATTTATCAATGATGTTGAATCAAATAACTATGAGTTAATTTATCATATCCACTTTTTGGACAGTGAGTGTGCAGTAAGAAATACTTCCGAGACGACATACAAAGAACCTATCCATACATTCAATAGTGGATGAAGAATGTCACTTATAATAGATATGAAATAAAATATGTTGAGGTGACCCATGGTAATAGATATATTGAAGTCACTGCATAACTGATGACCTCATACGTTCTTTGTAACATGATTTTCCATCTAAGCATTTCTGAGAGTGAGAAGTAACACCAAACGAAAGTAAATAAACTGGAATGGATCGAAAATATTATTAGTGAAACATATTGGTCTTTCTCATATTGTAGGGAACATATTATTAATGTGGATTTGTCATCGGTCCATCGGAGCTTCAAAACAATTTGGTGAGTACACATCTTCTGACTGTATGTCGATTGCGGATAAAGCTACTTAGAGATCATATTCCTTCGTACGAGTGGATTAGTTCAGAGGTATATAAATTCGAAATAAAGGTACAAATATCATCATTTGGGGTATATGGTATTCGCTTAGGGTTTTGTCGACATCCAATTCTAGAATTTATCCAACTGAAGTATATTATTTAATTTTTTTGGTACATGTTCTCTTCTAGTACATTTTTGCATGTGATTTGGGTGTCCAAGTAATATACAGAGATATATATTAGAAAATTTGGATTACCTATCATGTATACAGACGTATAAATGACTATATTGTAAGTACATATAAACAATCTCTTAAAATATCATGCGTTAGTTTAGAAAATAATACAAACGGCTAAGTACCCTCTACCTGACCATAAATCTAAGTTATTCATCAATCTGATTGTAACAAATCACATTCCAAACATTCAAATTGAATTAGAAAGACCCTATGGTGCCACTGCTAAAATTCTTGCAGAAATTTTAGTCCAACAAGCCTTGACATCATCGAATTCGAACACCCAGCTGCCTGGTGGATAATCTAAAGCGTAACTCTCAATGTACGTGTACACAAGTAGCCCACAATCGAAACTCTCACATTGACATCTGTAACGGTCTCTTTACTTCGCCATTTATAAAAACTCCTCCACATAACCAAACGGTGTGAGTTGCAAAGCTTTCAGTTGTTTGTTGTTCATTCCAACTTTAAATTTAACCATCTTAGTATAGAAGAAATGTATAGAAAATCTGGAGATACGTTCTTTGTATTTTTTTTTTATCTGTCATCATTTCAAACAAAAATATGTGTTTATGAGTATACCCAACACAAACACAAGTTTATGGCATAACTACGAAGGTAAGTAATATTCTATTTGAGACATATTAATTAACAATCAAGTCACTCCAAAGACAATGGGAGACACTCGTAAACAATATAAAGAACAAACAAAATTTTTACTAATCAATAAAACTGGATACATCTATAACCAATCCCATGACAGAGACATCACCCAATACCTTTGTACTTAGAAAATCTTCCGAAAAGATACAATTTGCCTATGGTATTTGAAAAAAAAACAAGAAGCACCATCCGCCTCATGTTTTAATTATTTTACTATAAATATAAACTTAGAAAAATACACATGAAGGTACTTCTAAAGACAACAAGATCATTTATAATTTCAAATACATCAAAATAACTCATATTCGACTCGATACAATGTTAAAGTAAAATGACTCATTACCGAAACTTGTACAAATTCAACCGACGCACAAAAATAAAATAAATCTAAGTACAACATGAACTCAAAAACTTAATCATACAAAAATCATAAACTTTAACTTGCTCTTTTCAAACTATGTTTTGAAGTGGAGGTTTTTTTCACATCTCGAACGAGAATGGAGCTATGGCCAGTGAGTGGAGACTTCCGACGGCGACGAAACTTTCTGCAAGGAGGCTCAATGATTATTACTTTAGCAGGGAGTTTCGACGAAGAGGGGCAACGTGGGAGATGATGAGTTTCGAATAAATAACCAAGCCACAATTCGGATGGTGGGTTTTAATAGAGTTTTATTTTGTTTTTTAGTTTAATTTACTTTAACTTATTTCAGTACATATATAAAATTTTTAGGTACATGACTTAATATTTTCTTTATACAGACGGATAATTTTATAGTATGTAATTAGATAATGTAGGTTTATACTAAAATAACATGAGTACATACAATATTCGTTATATTATAAAGTAATTTAAAGATGGACTGAATTTAAATGTGTTATAGGTCAGAGGAATATAAATCAAAATGTCCCTTAAAATTAATCTCTAAATTAGTTTTGATGAAAAGTACGGATGAAGGTATCTGCCAATATTTCCTTGCAAAAAATCAGACGATGAGAGAGAAGGTAGATGAAGAAAGAGGAAAAAGATGAGAAAAATGGCTTGCCAAGGCCTTTCTCGGCACGAAATCCTCTTCCAATCCCATTGATTTTTTTTACCTTAAGAAAAGAGTCATTGCGTGAGTTTTTTTCTTCAGCTTCTTCGAGATTGTCTTGTCGCAGGTGATAAGCTATGGTAATAAAGAGTACTCTATTTGCTCTTACTTATCTTTCCACTTAAAATTTCTTTATTTTTATATTTAATTAATAAGCAAATATTTTTATCCATATTAAAAAAACTCATTTTTATAAAATTAATGTTAAAATAAATATATCTATTTTATTTATTTGTATTATATAAATAGGACGAGTAATATTGTTTCATTTTTTTTTTAATAAATTGATCACACTAGTTTTTTATATAATTTTTTTTTTACCTTTATTTAATCGGCAATTAAAAGTGGAGCCCACACGAGGATCAGATCGCAATAAGTACGTACTGATAGCCCATATTCCGACACGTGTCCCATGGCTTCACATGTAGTCTCCCTTTCTTTTCTGAACGGTTCCATTATACATTCATATTTTTCCTCATATATATAAAAACCCTTCTCCGATATTCCTCCATTCAGTTTGCACCCATCCGCCCCTCTCCGCCCCCTTTTCCCCTTTTTCCAGTCGCGCGAGTCTCTTCGGACTCTGCCTTCATTTCGATCCCCCTAAAAGCGGTTTATGAGGTAAGCGATAACGATTCTTTAATTTTTGTATTCGATTTTATGTTCCTCTGCCTTTTCTTTTCAATTTCTGCGCTTTTTGGACTCAGATCTGCTGTTTTCTGGTTTTGTTTAGATTTGTAATTGGAGAATTTTATTTGTGTGTTGGTATTTCTGTATCGATTCGGAAATTCGATTTTGATCGGTTCTTTTTGTGCGATTTCTTGTAAAGGGATTGGTGTGTCCAAGGAGGGTTTTTTTAGTTTATTATTATGTATTATGTTTCGCTCGTTTTGGCGATGAATATATTTCCCTCGATCTGGATTGGTTTGCCTTTAGATTCACTAATTTTCGTTTTTTATGTGTTTCTGATTGCAGCTCTAAGGAGAAGCCCACTCTCGGGTAAGTGTCTCTCTCGATTTCCTGGAAAGGGATGGAATCGTAGTTGTTAGCAAATTCGTATGTTTCATGTGCAAGGGATTGTCATATTAATCTCTGTTTTTATTGGATGAATAATACGATCTTGTGGTTTTGTTTTAATTTCAAGCTTCTTCTTTAAATGAATCCCCTCTTTGTTTGGATCTAAGTTTTTAGTTTATGAAACAGTGTTTAATTTTGCCAAAACTAAACAAGATTATATGGTTCAGAGTATATATATATTTCTTGTTAATTTTTCTAATTAACTTATAATGTATAAATTTATGGGATCGTGTGATAAGGTATGGCCGAGATTCATAGTTTAATTGTTAGGTTATAAAGTAAGGGAGTGTTTTAACTGCAATTTGATATGTTTTCGGTAAAGACCTGAATTGTCCCTCCTGTTTAGAACTGCTCTAAAAAGAAAAAGTTCTTAGAAATTTCCCACAACGCTTTTTTTAAAAAAACTTATCAATCTATCCACAACCTTTTCAATATATAAACATATATATAACCATTTTACTTTTTGTATTCCTATTAGAAGCGAAAAAGAAGCATCTGCATGTAGGGCATCGGTATTATTTATAAGTGAAAACTCTTGTAATGTAATTATTGAATAATTAGGAGACTATTGAATTTATATGGAAGAGATAAAAACTTATTTGAAATTTGAATAAAAGCTATTGGGGTTATAAGCTTTTTCTTTTTCCTTTCTTTTTTATATGAAAATATGACCAGCAAAAATGTTCAAGCTTTGTCACTAGGCTAGTTTGGAAGTTTAAAGGAGAAGGGCGTGAAAGGAAAAAATAAATGAAATAAAAGAAAGGGAAGGAAGGAGATAGCTTTTCACCCAAAAATGGATGGAAGCTTTTGTTTGGGTGGAAAGAAGAAAGTTTTCCTTCTAACCAAACCTTTTGTTTTGTCATTTTCCTTTCTTCTCTTTTCAATTCCTTTTATTTGAATCAAGCATGAAGTTTAGATTAAATTTTAAAATTATATTTTATAATTTTTTTAATCTTAATTAAATTATTTAGTTATTTTAATTTTAATTTATAATTATTTTTATTAATATATTTCTTAATTACTTATTAATCTAAATTTTCATATCTACACGCCAGCAGTATTATTTAATTTATAGAACAATTAATTTAGATTAAGCTTTACGCATTGGGAATGCGAATATTAAATATTTAATAGCACCAACCATATTTTCACCATAAATGATTATTAATTACAATAAAACACTTTTACAAAATTCAATTTAAAGCTCTAATGTTATTTTTATTGGATTGGATCAATTTGGCCCAATTGCTTTGGTATTGGGCCTGTCTGGAGCCCAAAATATGGTTTAAGAAGCGTAAATCTAAGAGGAGTATGGCCGCCGAATTATTTTGAACTTATTGTTTCAATAACAGAAACCCTAGGCTCTGCTCTGTCGTCGTTTCCTACTGTGAGGGCGTCTGCTGTTGATTTCTCAGGAGCTTCGATTAGATTGAGATTTCAAGCTACGGAATTGTAGTTCTTCTATAGGAAGATGCCTCGCTTTCGGAATGTAAGTGTGAAGTTGTTAACGAGAGCGCATGTTTTCTCATTGTTTTGTATTTTGTCTGTCGCAAGTTGAGGAATGAGATTCGTTTTTTCGGTTTGCTGTTTTCTGAATTGTTTGTTGATGCAGAAGAAGAGGAAACCGTTTGTTAAACCTACTATAAAGAAACAACCGATCGTAGACCATGTAACCGGGGACAAGATCCCGAAGAGTTTTGTGTTTTCTCGGGGAAAGTTACCCGACGTTCTTCGAAAATTGCAGATGGATTTAAGAAAATTGATGCTTCCATTCACGGCTCTCAACCTCAAGGTGAGTATTTGTCGCATGCTTTCTTTCTCCTCCTTCTTCTTCTTCTTTTAATTGTTTGTTTCTCTGGACTGTATTGCTCTCCACATGATTCAATTGATATTAAAAACTTACTATAAATTTGGATTGTTTACCAGTCCTCAGTTGACGCATCTACTTAGATTTAGATTGTGCATTAACCTTTCCCAATGCCTGAATTTGCTTTTATTTGTAGGAAAAAAAGAGGAACAATCTCAAAGATTTTTTGAACGTGGCAGGCCCAATGGGTGTTACACACTTCCTGATTTTATCGAAAACTGATTCTGCGCCGTACTTGAGGGTTGGTAGAACACCACAGGGCCCAACTCTAACCTTCAAAATTCTTGAGTATTCGTTGGTTGCTGATGTTGTCAAGTCTCAATTGCGTCCGAGAAGTCATAAAGATCTTTTTGATAACCCGCCTTTGGTAATGGCTGGTTTATGCCTTCTTCAAATTCTGAGTGTTTTACAAATGTTTGGATTGGCTTTAGCTGCTGCAACTATTCTGTTTAATGCGTTGTTTTAGCCACTTTAATTATTACACTAAATATGAATGCTGAAGTTTGTGAGTTAATTTGTAGATTGTCCTTTCTGGTTTCGGGACTGGGGAGCAGCATCTTAGGCTTACAACTATAATGTTTCAGAACATGTTTCCTGCCATTGATATAAACACTGTAAGTCTTGAAACCTAGCGTCAGGAGCTTTGCATGCCTAGTGGACCGCATCATATTGTTGGACTTGTTTCAGGTCAAGCTTTCTTCATGCCAAAGAATTGTGCTGCTAAATTACAACAAAGACACCAAACATATAGATTTCCGGCACTATTCAATCAGATTACAACCGGTTGGGGTGTCACGACGAATAAGAAAATTTGTACAGAGCCATCTGGCCCCTGATTTGAGAACTCTTCAGGATGTCAGTGATTATTTAACAAAGTACTCTCTCTAAGCCCTGAGCTCTTTACATCACACTTGCATGCATTTGAATATTTAGCATAAGAATCACTGGGTCATGGGAGCTATAGTTTTTCATTTTGTTCTGATATCTTTTATCTATGAGACATTATATTGGAAGCCTGTATTACAACGGGTGTATTTCTTGATTAACCTCCATCCTCTCCTGTTTCCAATGAACTAAAATGTAAAATTGTTTATGGAGTTACGATATGCAATCAAGTAGATGTTGAGGTTATTAGTCATGAGCTTGTATTGCTAGCATGTAATTCTCTTCTTAGGCTATCATAAGTAAGGTAGATGTAGTTGGCAAGTCTTTCGGGCCTTAGTATCTTATGAGTCTAATGCTTCTTATCATTCCTATCGGTATGTTCCATTATGTTCCTAATGTTTTGGTGGCTTCCATAATTTCATATTTTAGGGCTGGTTATGGATCAGAAAGTGAAGTGGACGATGAAGCAGCAACTGTAAGTCTACCAATGGATCTTGGAAGAGTTAATAAGGCATCAAGTAAGAGTGCTGTCAAACTTCAAGAAGTTGGACCTAGAATGACACTTCAGTTGGTAAAAGTTGAGGAAGGATTGTGCTGTGGAGGAATCATATTCGATGCATTCGGTAAATACAGTTTTTGCTTTGGCTTAGTTAAAATTCAATTTTTTGAAAGACTAGTTCCTGTTTTATGTGGATGCATGTTTGGATGACAAGTCAAGTATAAAATCTGCTACTAGCAATTATTATTATACTTGGTGTGTTTGCTAAATAATCTCACCCGACCCAATTCCATTTAGCAAACAATTAAACATGCCCCTGTGTGTTTATTCGTGCCCTCGTTATAAATGAAAATGTACTAGAAGCCTAGATGGTTCCCTTGGTGTTATAGCTTACCAAGTTTCCCACCCATATCCAGTTTCATTTTCAGTTTAATTGTTTGCATCACACATTATGTCTCAGTTATTCATCTCATTTTTACGGATGTATTTGCATTAAATGAACTCCATTTCACGCACTTTCATCTTATTTTAATTTAGGAAATAATGCACCGAGCAAGAACAAGAAATCGGACGAGAACGACGAAGAAGGAGGTGATGGTCGTGAAGAAACAGATCAAGACGAGGAACTAAGTGATGGTAGCGAAGGCAGCGATGAAGATAATGATGAATAGGTGTGAGAAGATTAAGATTAGTGTGTTATAAAGGGAATTGTTGTTAGCTTGCGCTGCCATGCATTGTAAACCGATGACTCTGTATTATGCATTGTAAACCGATGACTCTGTATTATCTGATTCCTATTATTTTAAATTTAAAATGGCATAATTGGGCTTATGATAGTCTCTGAGAAAAGTAGGGCTGCCCATCGTAGGTTATTAATTAATCATATAATTTAATTATTCGTATATAGAAGCTGAAAAAACTTGGGCTGGGAAGCAAATTATTTTTTGTCCCAATATAATTAAAATTTATTAATTTTTGGTCTCAATATAAAAATTCTATCAATTTTGGTTTTAATATAATCAAAATTTATCATTTTTTGTTTCAATATAATTAAAATTCATCATTTTTTGTCTCCGTGGACTTGCAAGATTGTGTAAATTCTTCGTAAAGTTTGCAACAGACAACAGTTCAGTTATATTGAGACCAAAATTGATAAGATTTTTATATTGGAATCAAAATTGATGAATTTTGGTTATACGAGGACCAAAAATAATTTTTTCAAAAAAAAAAAAAAAAAGTTATTGATAATTCAACAGATTTTTTTTGCCCCCATTTAATTTCCTAGTAATATTTGGTAAGTTTTTTTATTTTTATTTGGTAAAGTTAAGATTTAGTTAATTAGTGATGACAACGAAGAATGAGTTGTATTGGCGAGTTGGTTCAAATTTTTATTTTGTAAGTATATATAGATCCATTTTTGTGTCATGGTAGCAACATAATAATTTCAATTTGACTAAAAATAAAAAAGTTCATATATACAAAGAAATTTCCATTTATACTTCTCTCAACGTTTTACATTCGTATTTTTTATTTATTTTTATTCCAGATAATTTATTTTTTTATTTTTTAGAAAATAATTATGTATTTTAATTGCATTTTAAATTTTATAATTTATAATTTTTTTTTAAATCTTAATTAAGTTTTTTTATTATTTATTTTAGTTTTAACCTATAGTTACTTGTATTATACAATAACTATTTTTATATATACTCCCTCCGTCTCATTCAAAGGTTACCATTTTTCATTTTCGTCCGTCCCAAAACAAGGTTATCATTTCCTAATTTAGTAATTGTACTACCTACCTAATACAATAAATACTCTTCCAACTTACACTATATTACACAAATAACATTATTTTTATATTACACAATACTAATAGGGGTATTTTCGTCTTTTTCATTACAAACCATTATAATACTAATATTAAAAAATTTACGTGCAAAAAGTAAACGACAACCTTGCACCGGAAAAAGTATATATTTTTATATTTACAATATTATTATTATTATTATTATTATTATATTATTATTATTTAAAGTATTTTTTATATTAGATATATGAAAGAATGTCAGTAGTTTAAAAATTAATATTTTATATTAAATTGTTATTTTTTTAATATAGAGATTATATATTATATATTTTGTATGAATATATATTATATTTTTTAATATTAATTGTAAATTATATTAAATCTTTTTTTGTTAGAACACACCAAATTTGGCGAAAAAAATAAATTAAGTTAAAAAAATAAATGTAAAGTTTAATTTGTCGTAATAAAATAAAATTATTGAAGTTAAAAAAATAGATGTAAAATTTAATTTATCGTAATAAAATAAAATTGTTGAAGAATAATTCTATCATTTAAAATATAAAAAATTCAAAATTTTCAATAAATCTGCAAAACAGAGTGGATTTAGAAAATATAAATCCCCGATTATTTTACCAATCAAACACACAATAAGATTTCAAATCATAAAACAATAAATCATATTACATATAAATTCTATTGTAAAACTTTAATTTCATTAAAAATAATAATAATAATAAAATAATAATAATAATCATAAACTAAACAGGACCTAAATATCTTTAAATATGAAAATTATTATTAATCACGTCTAAAATAAGAAGGTTGGCAGCATTGGCGGATCTATGCCTAGGGGAAGAGGGCTCCAGCACCCCTTCCCCCTTCCCTTCTTATTTATTGCTATTATGTATATAATATATATATATATATATATATTATAAAAATAATTGAAAGGATATTAAAAAAAAAAAATACTGTAAAATAATATGTACTTATTCTGTTTGTCAAATTTATTATTATTATTTTTTTTATTAATTAATTTATTTCATTATTATATTTGAAAAAGTAAAAAATTTATTATTTAATTATTATATTTTATTAACACTTATTTACAACAAATACTATTAATTTTATCATAATTTTTTTATTTTTTTAATTATTAACTAAATTTTCAAAAATATTTTCAACTATCTTTTAATTTTTTTCTATTTTTTTAATAAAATATATTTTTTTTAAATTTTGAGCCCAATGGGCTAAGTATAGGTGAGGGATAAAGTAATTTTTATACTTTTTCTATTAATAAAATATATATATATATATTTTTATTAAATAAAAAATTATTTTTATTTCATTTTTGAGTAAAAATTTATATATTTTTATTTCATTTTTTATTTAATAAAAAATTTATATAGAAAAAATTTATTTTTACTTTTTTTTAAAAAAAATTCTATGTCCAAATAATTTCGACGACAATCTTAATGATTTTGGAAGTTTATTTTTTTACTAAAAAAATGTATTATTTGTCGATTTTAAACAATACCAGCAAGAAAAAGAAAAGTTACTTTCTCCGTTCCACTTAATTTGTTCGCTATTTCTATTTTTGCAGTTCCGCATAATTTGTCATTTTTTAAAATATAATTATACATTTTAATCACATTTTAAAATTTATAATTTATTATTTTAATTAAATTATTTAGTCATTTTAATCTTAATACTCCCTCCGTCCCAATAGAGTTGTCTTATTTTTCTATTTTCTTCTGTTCTAAAACAATTGTCTTGTTTCTTTATTTAGTCATCATGGTCCTACTTTATAACAAAATTATTCTTATTTTTCCAAACTACTCTTAATTATTATTCTAATATACTTTTTTTAAAATCATTTAAAAATTAAGAGTATTTTAGTCTTTTACCTTCTACTTTATACCCATTTTTAACTAGATACTATTATTTATTGATTCTCGTGTCCACTCCCAGTAAGATATTTTTTCTGGGAAGGAGGGAGTATATAATTATATTTATTAAATCATAATTATTTTCACTAATACACATTTCAATTACTTCCTAATTATACAATACATAAAACTTTGCCTAAATTAAATGGGATTGAGGGAGTACAATATGTAGTCGCGCTATAATTGTTACTCCATCCGTCCAACTTAATTTGTCAACTATTTCTATTTCCGTCTATCATACATAATTTGTCTTTTTAAAAAAAAAAACAATTATACACTTTAATCACATTTTAAAATTTTTAATTTTTAATTTTTAATTTTAATTAAACTATTTTGTCATCTTAATTTTAATCTATAATTATTTTTATTTAAGTATAATTATTTTTACTAATATATTTTTTAATTACTTATTAATTACACAATATCTAAAACTTCCTACTTAAATAAAATGAGACAATTTAAATGGAATGGAGATAGTATTTATCCGTGCTTGTAAACACTCTCAATAAAAATATATTGTGTATATTATTAAAATATGTTATTGACAGAGGATTAGCTCCAACCAATACCATAAACAAACTGTATTAATTTAAAATATTAGAAAATTAGCCTCATTTGGACAAACTTCTACTTCTGCAGATGGTTGATGTAATTCTCCGATTTCGAAGTTTATAAAATAATATTATTATAGCAAAAAAATTTTTTATAATATTTTAGAATCAAGAAATTAATATTTTGAAATATATTTTATTCATATTTTGTATATTAATTATAATTATGAAGACTGTCAAACGAATAAATATCGATAAAAATAAATAAAAAGATAATATAATAATAATAATAATGATAATAATAATAATAATAATAATAATAAAGGTGATGATGATGAAGATAATGTTTATAATAATAATAATAATAATATAATAAAATATATATATACACATACAAACAAATATATTCATCCGTACCGTGGGCAGAAGGGGAAGACGCAGGAGAAGAAGGCATAGAAGAAGAAAGGAGAAGAAAAAAATAAAATAAAATTTAATCGTTTGATTTTGATTGATTTCGGTATTGTATTCATTGTTATACGTAGAATTTAATTATAAATTTTAATATGAATTTCGATATTGGGGATATTAAATTATAATTTTTTTAAAAATTCATAACTGGCTATTTGACTATTTAATCGACTAATTTCTTTAGTTTATAGCCTATTCGTAGTCCTAGTGTTATATTTTGAGAAATTCGTATCGATCCAAGCCGAATTGAAAACGGCAGTGTAGTGCACATGTCTGTTTATTCATATCATTAAATATTTTTATTTAATAATCGCGATATAAATATTATGAGGTATAAGAGTTTTATAGCTAGAATCTCGTATTCTACTACATATAAAAATTTGAAACCCAATGAACTAATTATAAAAATTAGCTTTTGAATAAGTAGGTAGCTCCTATGAATAAACATATAGTTCATCTGATTTGAGTAAATAATATGGCAGGTGTACGTTGGGAGAGATTTATGTGAGATTGTAAAAGTTAGGGAGTGTCGACAAGAGGTAAGCAGTAAGAAATTAAATCTAATTAAAAAAAAATAGGTATGCTTGTTGCATGCGATTCTGATTAATATGTTAATATGATATTATATGAATCATTTTGTCAGTGCATGTATATATTTATATATATATGTGTGCGTATGCATGTGGGAGAATTCACGGTTTATGATATTTGATATATGTATTTGATCGCGTTGGTGAATTTATGAAAAATAGGATAGGTGAGCTGTCTCACCAGCCCTTTTCGGTAAATTCACTTATTTGACATGTTGCACACATATTGTACAGTTTATCGGTTATGTTTTATGGATCTATCGTTTAGTCGTCATGTGCAGTAGTGCTAGGCGAGGGCATCATATGGGGTTAGGATATTCGACCCCGATGTACCGTATCACTTTGGCGATAGTGGACGATAGTAGTCGGACAACTGGGTGACTTAGTCGCATGGATTAGACCCATGGTAGTTGAGACGTATTTGGTCTAATCATTCGTGTTCAATGTTGTTCCACTCACTGGA